CATATTTTCCCGTTTTATTTATGATTACTTTGCTTACTTTTACCAATGGCCTTTGTTGTCTATACTCTGACTTATTATAAGAACTTACGTGACTTGGTTAGTTAACTATACTCTTTTCCTCAAAACAATTGACGTTAAATTTTCCTTGTATTTAATGTAATGCAGATAAAATTTTAAACAAATAGTTTGAATATACAAAAGTCTTAAAATATACAAAGCTTTTTATGTTACTTGCTTAAGCTTTGCATTGTATATTATTTCTGGTCATAAATTCTTCTGTAGGTACTAACCTGTGAATTGTAATCAAATAGTTCAAATTATTCATGTGATAAATAACTGGTGATAAATGTGAAAAATAACAAATTAACTCGCTTCCAGAAACACTTTAAACTTAAATAAAGTAACGTAAAATTTTTAAAAAAACAAAATTGTGAACAGGCAGAGAAAAAGACGGAGAACAGAAAGCAAAAAATTTGTTGATGAAATGCTGAAAAGTTCGTGTTGTGATAATTTTTGGAGTATTGTTGGGATTAGTTATTCTATTTACTGACTGTATATTTACAAACCTATTGATATTCCTATACTTGATTTGACACTTAAATTGACTGACACTTCATTTATAAATATTTTGAATTCCCATCCTCGAGTTAACACGTAACATAAACCTATCGGTTCTTAATATTATTTTTCTATACAAAGTAATTTTATGATACTATTGCTTATTCAATTTGCACACTACGTAGGATCAATGAGAAAAGTCAAAAATATGTGGTGTACTCTTGCTTTACACCTCAATGCATTTAATCCACTAATTCTAATATGCATTAGGAAAGTTAATGATATAAGTAATTGCCGTATCTAATTCTTGATATGCCATCGGCCAAGAAAGCGGTCTACTACATAGTTTTGATAAATGCTTCTGCGAAATTAAAAAATATCTATAAGGCTGACAGTTTGAACAGAGTTTTTATTTTTAATTATAAAATTTGTTATCTGATAGGTATGTGTCACATTTCAAGTAATACTTTGTCATAATATTATTACAAGAAAAAAAACCTTGTTTCATGACGTTCAAACGAACCTTAATCGTGTGATGGCAGACAAAACTTTTGCCGTCTGTGCCTATGGAAAGTAAAAAACAACAATCTAATAATTTATCATTTGCAATTAACATTATTCATATATCACATTAAATGTCAATAGAAAGCTCATATAACTTTAACATTTGTATATGAATAAATTAACATTAATTAACGGGTGTTAATTACATTTATGATCTGCTTGAATAATATAGGGATCGTTATGAAATATTCAGTGTGAAATGGCGGTATTATGAAAGGAATATTACACTGTTGGTAGAACGTAAATCTCGATCCATAAATTTTCATAATTCAACTGAAACTAATTTCACTAATGAGCTTCAGTAATTACATGCGTGAGAACTATTTAGATTATTTAAAAAGTTGTCACTTGTCATTAAATATGAATTATAAAAGTTATTTGAATTTTTCAAAATACATTTATATCAAAACAGTAGAAAACCACTATGACATTCGAACAAAGTCTTTGCTATCTCAACAATTCATCTAACCATCGTAAAGCGACGAAAGATGTGTGTTATGAGAAATTTCAACAGCCAAACAGCTTAGGAATATTCCTTTTTAAAGTTTTATGTTATTGAAATGACCGGTATTACATCCGAGAGACCATTACTTACTGTTGTGCTTGCATACATATTCATATCTATAAATTCTCGCTTGGAAAGAGAGATAAAAGTAGTTTTACGGCTTCGGAGCAAGTAAGATGGTAGAAACTCGATCAAGCATAGCCGTTGTGGGACTGAAACAGAACACTCGAATCGGTATGTGCGATAGAGAGGCGTGTACAATCAGAAGGCTTTTACGGTAGAGTGGGCAACGCTCAGTGAAATGTGGGTCCGCTTGCCTTCTTTTTCGATCTCGCCATAGTAAATTGATTCTAAGATTAATCTTTTGTGGTTGCTTTAAATGACTAGAGTATAAATTTTTTCTATGCCGTTAGTACAATTAGTAATAATTTTCGTGTTGATATTTGTAATTTATTTAGTAATACGTGCCTTAAACGTAGTAAACATTTACACCAAAATGTTAAAACACTTTTATATATAATGTTACTTACATTGCAAAAAAATACGCCGCCATTTTTATTTCAGTAAATTTAAGAATTTCATTTAAATTTTTATACAATGAATGATAAGAATAGTCATACTCTTTTCCGCCTGCATATGTTCGATCAGCATAAAAGTCCAAACTTTATGTCGTGTAAACGTTATACATGCTTCAAACCGGAAACAATGAAAACATAACAACATAGCAAGCAGTAAACCCCCGACCGTCTGTTTTATTGTCGTCACTATGATACTCATTTCGGATCGAAATAGTCTGTCCATCGTAAATCTTAGAATAGCAATCTCCTCTGAATAGATCAGTGTAAATAGTTATACCAAACAACATCATGTATGCATGTTTATGAAGACTAATAGACATTTTTGGGATATAATGGTCACAGAATATATTAATTTAAGTACTACTACACTGATAAAATATATAAATAAACTCACAAATATCATATCACATAGGAAGACTTATACAACTTATATTTCAAACAATTTCCGGCCAATTTCTATTCTACCATTTTGGTCCAAAATTTTTGAAGCTGATGTTCATAGCCAACTCTCATCGTATGTGTCCCCACTGAAGTTATTGGGACCCTTTCAGTCCAACTTTCGACCCGGATATAGTACTTCTACTGTTCTTCTCAATATTTTAAAGAATATTCGATATGGCATGGAAAGAAATTAATATTCGAACCTCGAACCTCTACAATTATGGTTCTGATAGACTTCTCTAACGCCTTCACCTATTTTGGATCGCAATTTGGAGTGGTCAAACAGTTACGGTGATACTGTAAATACAACAAAGTGTCAAAATATTATTATAGCCAGTTCACGTCAATTGTCGGTTTTTGATATGAACACTGTTATTACTCATATGCTGTATAATGGACAAGTCATCTCATTTCAGTCCAGTGTTAAAAATTTAGGACTTCACATTAATTACTCTCTCAACTAGGAGGTGCAGGTTGCCCATGTGTGTCGTAAAATTATGAATACGCTTACGTCATTATATAGACTGAAATTCTTTCTCCCATACATCACTAAAATTGCATTAGTACAGACTCTTTTTATTTCACTTTTCGACTACGCTGGTGTCTGTTATTCTGACACTGGTCAATTTCCTCTCATCAAATTGGATAGTTTGCTTAATAGCTCTATTCGGTTTATATTTGGCCTTCGTAAATACAATGACATCTCTGAATACAGGAAACAACTCGGATGGTTAACTATCCTCCAACGCAGGAACTTGCGAGTTGTCTGTATGCTTTTCAAAATCCTTTACGATCCATGTACCATTGGATGGATGAATTTGAAGTCTAGGTTACAATATCTTTGTTTCAGTCATCATCGTGATCTTCGCTCTATGAGTAACATTACTCTTCAAACTCCCGTTAATCATACTGATTTTGTTTCCAAATCCTTTAGTCAGCTTTTCGCCTTTGGGATGCTCTCCCAGCTCATATTAAAACTGCTCACAGTTGAATGGTTTCCAAGAGATTGGTGCATGAGCACTATTTCCATATGTAATTATCTCATATGCGTTCTGTATTCTATTGTGTATGTATATTTCTATAGTTTATCTATATTAACATATATATTTGTTTAGGTATATATAGTATTATGTATTATACTTTTATTAATTTATTTACTTGTAATCATTATTAGGCCACTCTTTTTTTAAAATTATTATCGCCTAACATCCAGACTCCAACATCTTTTTCTGGTAGAATGACAGAGAATTTGGCATTTAGTCCGCCTTTTGTGTTTAAAATGCAATAAAGAATAAAATAAATACAATTACTTGACTTTAACATATATTTTTTTAACAAATAGACAAGAATTTGAATGAAGTGACGACTTTCAAAGCCTAATGATAGTTCTAACTTCATTGAATGGTTCTCCTCTAATGGTTTAAAAAAATGTACAACCTATGACATTATTTCAAGTCACAACTTCTCTCGACTCTAAATACGGCTGTAACACGCTGAAGCGATGATTTTTTGCTGTTTTTTATAACTTTTTATTCCATCTACCTTTTATGTCTTTTTTTTTAAAGTAGCTTCTGGTTTTAAGATATTTCATACATCACCAGCCTAAGTCTTTCCTATGGGATAGAATCAAATAGGATAACAGGGCGTAACCCACCACGCAGGTCTAATATGAACTCCCCCCAATTTACAAGGCATGTTCAGCCGTTGATCCTGGCTTTATATGCAGTCGTTAACATCACCCTGTTAACAAATGTATGAAACCGAGACTAGCAGCTTAACGCGCCGTTTAAAGATGATAGTATTATGTAGAAAATATCTGGATTTCAATATAATAAATATTTAGTCACGTATCTTATGCCTATGACCGACCCTGATACTTATTACCCTCCGCATCAGAGAACAAACGCGCTAACTATTATATTGCACATGGAGCTCCTCATGTTTCATACGTGTCATGTAAAATAGATGGACATAAAAAGAAAGTATAATCTAATAACATACCATCAAATCGATTTCTAATGTAATCGAGAACGCGAATACAAAAGTGTTTTAACATATTTTTTTAACAGAAGCTAAGACAATTAATGAAATATTCATGAGGTTTGGAATAGATATAATCAGCTTAAGAAAGACAGATACTCCTTAAGTTTAATATAGCCTGCATAAATTAACAATAATACCTATACATTAAAATGTGCGGAATGCGGTATCAGTATTCATTTGTTTTTGACGGCATTTTAAATGCAGATTTAATAAACAGTACTTTATAATATTCATTTCGTAATGTGTAACTTAGTTGGATACTTAATTAAGCATGTTTCTCGTTCCATAAATCTTAATATTCAACACCTGCTCTAAAACAAACAATAGAGCTACGTCGAAATCATATATCAGTTCACGATCTAGTGAAAGTTATAAAAATAATAAGTACACTCGAAGACATTGCACTGCTGCGTTATTTAGCTTTTAGAGTAATCATTAAAATAAATAAGAAGTTTCTTATAAATATTACTAAAGATATATTTTTTTTTTACTCAAGCATTGTTCTTTTTTTTTCAGATGAATCCCCGATCGAGATGTCGGATACCGGTGGAGCAGTAGTGTCCCGAGCATCGACACCTCGGCCGGTTACAGAACCTCCCGTAAATACTCCACTTAGATCACGACATGACCAATTTCTTGCAAGTTCAGCTGAAAGAGTTCAGCAAAGACCTTCTTCAAGTGGTAGAAATCCCAATAGTAATTTCGACTCCCCTCCTCTGCCCTATCATAGACAAATAAACACTGGTACTTTACTCACTTCTACACATCGTGAATCATCAGCTTTTGTTCCTGTTGTTCCAACGAGGTCTATGCATCCAGTTATATATACCAATGAAATGCATCCTGCTTTAATTCCCTCAGATATTATGGATCGGGAAAGAATGATGGAAAGAGATAGAACGGAACCAACAAAAAGTTCACCAGACAGAACTTCCGGTAACTTCCAGAAGAGAAATTCTTTTGATCTTATGGCAATGATGGTAGAGAAGCGTAAAGAAGTAGCTTTAAGAGAAGCAGCAGCTGCGATGCTTCTTCCTCATCACAGAACATCGTCAATGGATGGAATGATGTCTGATGGTTCCTCCCAACCTCCTATTTATGGTCCACCGGGCGCATTCCTTGGAGCGCCTGGTCCGTCCCCGACCACTCCTGGGAGTTTCACTTTTCCTGGAGCTGGTTTATTTCCGCCTGGAGCAGGCCCTCATCAAATACATCCTCACTTAGATAGAAGACTTTTACGAGCACCGGGAAGAGCTTCAAGACCTAAAAAGCAATTCATATGTAAATTCTGCAATAGACAGTTTACAAAATCTTACAATCTGCTCATCCACGAAAGGACGCACACTGATGAACGTCCGTACTCTTGCGATATCTGCGGGAAAGCATTCCGAAGACAAGACCATTTACGAGACCACAGGTAAGATAATATAATTCATAATTTATTCAGTAATTATGCACTATCTATAGTCTGGTTGCTTGCACATTTTAATTTTCTACAACAGTGATCATAATGTAAAGGCCTAATATATACGAACGTAACAGCAGCCGGTGTAACTCAAGTTGCAGATGTTTAGCCGACTGTGGCCACATCCGCTCCGCTACTTGGAAATGAAATATTTATAAAGTCTCGATTATAGTGCTAGCTTCTAGGAAACTGCTCTATCTTGATTAATAGTAAGAGGTTCTTGTACTTTCAAACGTAAAGACCAGAGCCGGTTCCGTGGTACTTAAAAACTGACGGCACTCAATACGCATACCATTTGCTGAGCATTAGGTGAGCCATTGGTCAGTCATTCAGATTGTAGATAACACGCGAATGATATATAACAGTCTTGGTTCGTTTATGACAGATAAAAATAATCTGACAGAGATTTACTTACTCGAGATTCATAGTTAGTTTTTGAGATAAACTATAAAGGTGGATATTATGTTTCCTTAGTTTGTTTAATGGTTGGGAACAGTGAAAGATGTGTAAACCTATTGAACCCCAAGTATTTTGTTTTATTTATGTAGAAGTTAAAAGTCAAGTAGCAAAACTTAGTAAATGAACAGTATTTTAATATACAGAACAAGCACAATCTAGCTATGAAATATCAAAATATTTGCACCATGTTTTCTCAACTTATTTGCATTATTAATATAACTAGTTAGCTATTTTGTTAGTAGTGTGCAGAAAACTTAACAAGGACCAGAATATGTAAAAGCTTTCAATGTTATTTACATAAATAGCGTTAAAAAAATATTATCGTCTGCGAGCAGGGACAGGACGTCTTCGATTGGCGGCGTATCTTGTATCGATGCAGCTATAAATATCAATTAACTCTCCACCGGAGAACGGATTTGAAGATACCAATATGTTAATTAGCGCTTTTATCGAATTATATATATAACGTTACACTTTCTGGGAACTTTTTTGATAATACCAACAGATCAATCAGGGAATTGCCAGATTAATGATACTCTCTTAAGACAAGTTTATATTGAATGTGTTTTTATTTTCAATTCTTATACTTGTTTATTTTATTTATTGATACTTCTTGTACAAATATACAATAGCGGACAAATGCCATAGGCATTTTCTACCAGTTAACCTTAGGGTGATGTGGAGACAAATAGTCGGTGGGGTGCATAACAGAAGTGGAAATTTTGTAGGAAGACTATACTAAAAGTATACTTACATATACCATAAACATACATAAAATATAAATCAATACTACCTTTAAACTGTACATAAAAAAGAATTCAATTTTTTTTATTTAAACTTTTAATTTTTATATTTACAAAGTGATGATTCATTTTTATAAATACGTACCAACATATAAAGTTTTCTGATTGTTATAATAGAAATCAAACATTAATCAGTCACAAAATAACAATTTGGCATGAACGCTATTACTGCTTTAGTGATTTTTGATAGATTTCGGCGTGGTATGGAGGATATTCGACACACATTAAGTTGCGAGGCTTTTTTTTACTTCAGACTGTAATTAGTTTAAAATTTGATGAGTCATTCGTTTCTATTGGAGCCAGCGTCGTAATAGAAGACGGGAACCTGGTACTGGGAGCAAATAAAATAGAATTTGTATTTTATTAGCGTTTAGATTCATTAGAGAATAAAGTGATACTTATCGTTGAAATCCAACTTAATATTATCTTCAATAAGTCCAGCATAACATAGATGTTAAACAAATTATTATTATATTTTAGACCTGCCTCCTTTAAACTAAAAACAATATTAAAAAAATAGTTATTGATTATTATTAAAAGATTTAATGCAATAGAATTACGTGGCAGTATTAGTTATATTCACGACTAGATAACAACAAAAAAAAATAGATATTACTATCTCAAGTTTTATAAATATACCATGAGTCTGCTGACGTTACTTTTCTAAACTAGTATGAACAACTTCTAAGGCAATTTAATACTAGTTACTAGTTCGGACTATTTCGTTGTGTTATCATTCTCAAATTGTCGATATAGGCGATGAATAGAATCGTGACAAAAACTTTTGAGGTTTTTCACGCCTCAGTAAGAATAGTCAAACTTGCAATTATAGTATTCCGTAGAATAGAATAAGACCACTTTTCCTGTGACAGGTTTTGTCCTTAAAGAAAACATAAAAAATTTGTTGTTTTCTATAATATTACTTCGTGGCACATACAATTGTTATTCTACACAATTTAATTGATACCTTGTTCCATTTTACATTTAGTGCCTTTGTTAATTATTAAATATTGCAAAGGTATTTTTTTAAACGCAACATGACGTCACGGTTGTTTTACTGTGACTGTTTACATTTTTTTCTTCACTCAAACGATATTAAAGTATAATCGAAACGCATTATACCGCCATAATGTCCGGTTATTATATTCCGTGCCACAATTAATAACCCATAGCAAAACAAAAATGTATTTCTGCCCCGCGAAGGATAACTCGCAATCATAATATTCTCCGAAGCAGTTTTAACGTAGTAAAATTATCATGGTTAAAGTAAATCATATAGAAAATGTTTAAATTTATTTTATTTCACTAAAAATCACCTTTTAAAATGACCTCTTGTTCAATATATATTTTTTTCTCGCAAATGAATTTGATATATGATTTTAGAAATAACAATATATCGCTAATTTTTATGAGATTAAAATAAAAATCTGAATAGAAACTCAAAAGTATAAGTTAAACGGTTCGCATCGAAGTCGTACCGCGTAATTTCTGAAATTTGCAATCACTGTAACTCAAAACGTACCCGCAATCATCTTATCGAAACCTCCAACGTTTCGATCTAAGCCAGTTTCACAAGCATATAACGTAGCCATGATTAAAAACATGCATTAACGATTTGCGTAAAAAAAAGTAATACTTATGAATATTTAAAGCGACCGCCTTACGTAAATATAAAAAAATATTTAATGATCGTTTCGTTGCTATCGAAAACTGATCGAAGAAATCGACGCATGATCGGAATATTTTATAGACATAAACAAAGTTTTGGCAACCATTTTATGCTAAAGCAAAACGGGCGATTAGGACGAAGCATGCATAATATTATGAGCTGCATTTTTGACTGTTTCAAAAACACATTGAAATTATTATAATAAATAAAGTGTTTAATAATGTATCGTTTACTTTTTAAATATTATTTACATCCTCTTTTACTAAATTTAATTAACACAACCATAACCCTTAGCGAATTAAAAAAAAAATCTTAAACTCTCGAGCGTGAATATATTAAAAGAGAGGTTTATTATGCATCTTTAATCATTGGGTTGGACAAAAATTCTTCTTTTAATAAAACACATTCGACGGTTCCCATCAGAGTATACAACAACGTTCACGCCATAAACCTGTATCTGAACTACGAGATATAAATACACGTAATATATTTAACGAGAAGGCATACGAACATACGCACTCCTATCATTAATTTTCCTTACTGCGGAGTAATTTCTCTATATGAAATACTAGTTCGTGAGATCTGTAGCTTTATTTAGAGTGAGCCAAGTGGCATTTGAATTTGACTTAGACCACTTAAGGTTTTATCTTAATTGGATTTCTGTGACAGCATCGTTTCTGTTTCGTTTGTTATTTTGGCATTTGAATAATCATTGGTTGAGTTTGTTGAGTTTATTTACTCCTAAGTAACGATAAATTAATGGACACACGAGTTTATCCAATATGATTCCGTCCATATGGACGGATATCCCCTGGCGGTGGAGCCTAATGATAATTATAAATAAAATCTTATCTTATTTATAATTGAATAACAAAATACACGTTCTTTTACTATTAACCTTTACTATTTGTCTAATGACGGTAAAAATCAAAAATTATTAAAATACTTTATAGTAAATTATCATATTTAATTTATTCTGTATATTTTTTCCCGTTATTTCTTTATAACAGTGCTTGAAAATAGATTAAAATTTAAAATCGAAACAATAATCTCAAGGTACTTAATATAAAATTTTGACAAAATTTTATTGGTCTTTACCTCCTAAAGCAATACACGTTAATTACACGTAATTCAACGACAAAACACGACATGGTAATTTGCAAACACATTGTCAGATGTGAATTATTTTTGCATCGGACGTTTTTATCTCCAGCCCCGTATGCAATTATGATTGCGGCGGGACTACATTATAATGGCGAGTGGGCATCGCCACTCGTACCGATCGCTCAAGGGGTTACAGCAAAAAGGGATATCAAATTAATACTGAATCCATAATAAATCAATGTGGGCAGGTGCACATCGTCACTAACAGTGTAGCCTACGGACAACTTTAGGAATTATCATATCGAAACCAATTGGACCGAAATTCGGATTCGATTATTAAAATTGCTCTCGAAGAATGCAATTTTGAAGGAATCTTTGATATTCAGATGCCATGAAATCTTTCGTTATGTTAATAACAAAAATGCTAACACGCCATGTTTTTTAAAACACAATTTAAATATATTTGAATAATTCGATTTGATAGAAAGAAATTATTTTAGTATAAAAGATGTTATCTAACTTCTTTAGATTATGTACCTTATTTTCCATCACCTATTGAAGACTGATAAACAAACTCCTCTCTGCGTTTCATCAACTCGAACAGCAAATATGCTAACACTTTTCAATTCAACGGAAACTTAAATTACGAATTAAGCCTTAACAAGTTTTAAACATGTTAATCTCGGCTACACGTTTTAAGTTCAATAAACATTTAAAGAATCAACACTAACTAGAATTCATTTGTTAAAACTAACATTATTATTGGAGTGTCGGTTTCCTCTACATATGAAATCAAAATAGTCGTGACTGGTGCTATGGAATAATTAGCTAGAATAACCGCACGGAGTACATTCGTTTGATTTCACAGTTTCTTATTGCCTTTTGAAAGTTCTCGCGTTGCGCTTAAAAAGGCTTGC